TTGGAACACCGAACATCAGGAGGCTTTTGACGGGGTCAAAGACAACCTCCTGCATGCATCAATACAGGCGCTGCCAGACCCTGATTGTCCTTTCAGCGTCGTCTGTGACGCTTCTGACTTTGTCATCGGCTGTGCACTGCCGCAAGCAGACGCCAAGGGGCGAGATCGGGTTATCGTGTTCGAGTCTCGACAGCTCAAAGCTGCAGAAAAGATCTACCCAGTTCATGACAAGGAGCTACTTGCGATGAAGCATGCACTTGCCAAGTTCAGGTCCACCTGCTCAACTCCAAACCGTATTTGACTTACACAGCTCATGCGTCATTACGCACTGCGACTCAGTCGCCTCGCCTCTCGCAGAGGACGGCTAGATGGCTATCCTTCTTCGCGGAATATAACTTCAAAGTGAAGCATAAGCCGGGAAAGCAGAATTCTTTTGCTGACACGTTGTCACGCAGACCAGATTATGATCTTGCTCATGTTACAATTGTAACGTCGTCTGTGACAGATTTGATGAGCACCGCGTATTCGGGTGATGGGATGTGTGTAGCGTTGATACGGGCTCTCGGGAGCAAGGAGTTTGGAAACTCATACAAGAAGTTGTCACAAAGACTGCGTGCACGATTGCACCGATATGCGTTGAATAACGGGTTGCTATACTATAACATCGATTCAACGGATACACCACGAATCATGGTTCCTCATGATGAAGATTTCAAATACAGCATCCTGAATCAGGCTCACGACACGCCACTTGGTGGTCATCTTGGTCGTGAGGAAACGTACAAATCTGTGAGTAACCATTATTGGTGGTCCAAGTTGTACAAATGGACGAGCACCTATGAGCGCACGTGAGGGTCGTTTCAACGGGGAAACCCCCCTCCAAATGCGGCTGCGCCGCTAGCCAGCTTACTGGTATCCACTGGGTGCTGGCAGTCCATGACTTTGGAGTTTGTGTTTGGCCTGCCAAAAGAAAGGCCGAAGGAAAGGTTCCGGTGCCGTTGTACCCATCGCTCAAAGAACGCTTCGTTATCTGTAGCGCTTTCGCCAGGGACGAGCACTACAGGTATTGTCCACATTGCGGATACACGAGAGCCACCTCGCTGCGCATGTAGACGAGTGCGTTAAGCATTCAGCGCAAATTATTGTGGGACCAAGAAACGCGATCGAAGAGCTTTCCGTGTGGCAAGTTCATCATTCGTTCTGATCGGAAGCCCGATGATGTGGATGCGTAACGATCGGTTTACCGCGTCCTTCGCTTCCACAGCGGGATCCGCTGGGCAGAAGCCATATTCCACACGAAGGCCAATGAACGACCGTGGATGGGCGGGCTTTGAAGCCGCCTTATGGGCAGCTTCAAGCTGCCGCCTCTGTTCCCCTTCGAGGTCATTCGTGATTACACCACATTCCTCAATTGACAAGAAGTCAGAGAACGGACATGGGGTTTGCAAGGCGCGAGCAGGGCTCGTATCACGCTGCTAGTGCAGCCCTCCTTCCTCTTCATCCCATGCGGGAAAAGAGGTGTCAGACTCATAGTCGACCACATCCTCAACGAGGCCACTCGGCACTGAAAGCGTGCGTGGAACGCGACGTTTGTGCTCATCGAGCCCAGGATATAAATCCCCGGTGCCGCGGACGCACTGTCCGATATCGCACTGCGTGCGGGGGACGAAGTCGGGCTCTGCCCGTGCTCGCTGTCAGAACCAGCGAGTCTAGGTGAATTTCGTGTCGTGGACAAAGAGCTCATTGAGCAAGGAAGTTGTTAAATTTCAACAAATTGAGATGCAGTGTCTAACGGACACGCGAGCCTCGTTGAGGAAAAAATCAATTGGAACTGTAAATGCTCTCAATCTTGATGGGGGAGGGTGTAACGGGGTTACACAAACCCTAATAACCGGGTGTGTGTCACACGAGATGTGCATGGTGTGACCACACACTCAAACAAGAATAAGGACGGGGACTGGGTAGCCAGAAGTTATGCATGTATTTTGATATATTTAGTATATTTAGGAAAGTCTAATCTTTTAAAAATTAGGATAATAAATAAGTTTGGAAATCAAACCGAAGAGTCAATTAGCCTTGGGAAGGCAATAATTACTCTTGGAGTAAGCGGAGTGCGATCCGCTAATCCATACTTGGTGTTTGTAAAGAACGAAAGGTCGGTGACCAAAAGTACGCTTTCTCAAGCGCTAAGCTTTGGCATCCCCGCTGCACTATTTTTCTAAATCTACACATAAAAGTATACTAAGGTCGAAGTTCCGAACAATCGTGGCAAATACGATGATCAAGATCTTTAACTAACAATATCTTCTAGATCGCAGTTACAGGACTCCGAGTTGGTTACGCTATCTTACTTGATTGGTATTGATAGTTTAGCAATATGTATTTTTCACGTATTTCTGTTAAATATTTCGGCCAAAAATATGTAGCCATGACTAATTCTCAAAAAA